GCATGGAACTGGAACAGAGTTAAACAAGTGAGAAAAGCAAGTAAAGAAAATGTTAGGATAAAACTTATTGTTACATCTAGACAATTCAACTGTGAATTGATCAGACCTTACTGCCAATCTAGCACTGTGCTTAAATTCAAAATCTAGATACCATAGTGAAGAGCTCATTTGAACAATTACCATGAAAATATGTATAGAAAAGGCAACTTTACAAGGAAGCAACTTTACAGTGGTAGGAAAGTGACTGAAGCCGAGATGCCAGGTGAGGACCAAGAATATTACTGTTTTTTTAGATTTTATCAAGAATCTTTAAATATATAGCAGGAGCACCAGACTATGGCAGCAATAATGTAAGCCTGGATCAATGGTAGAATTATAAAAATGTAAGATAGATTCTGGCAAGAAAAATTGTCTAGCACAACAGAGTGAACCAATTTTCTTATCAGCTGACCTAGCAATGGATTGAATATAATCTTTTCACTTCATGTCATCTAAGAATGTTAGCCTGAGAAGGCACAACAAGTCACTTTCCTAGAGGTTAGCATCAACTATACTGATGGAAGGTATAAAGGTGTCTTTCAGATGATTATTATAGAGCAGCTTTGTTTTTGTAATATTCCAGGCTGCTGGGTAATGGCGGAGTAATGGATAGTGGCTCGGATTGAGGAATCAGAGAGCTGAGTTTGAATTCCAATCGAATTCATTGCATTCACTTACATACTAATACCCCTGGGAAAGATATGAATCCTCTTCTCCCCCCAGCTATGGGCAAATAGTAGGACAGACGGGTTCTACAGACTTGGATGGCAACTGGTCTACTGCAGAAAGAAATGGCAACCTACTGCAGAAAAAAATCTGCCTCGTCAGTCATGTACCAAAAGATATATGATCATTAAGTGTGTATCACGCATGGCACATAACTGACTGGGATGAAGAAAAATTAAAGAAAATAAAAGACAAGTGTGTTAAGTAAGTCCAGACAATTACTTTTTAGTGGCAGTATATTTTGGCACAGACCTTCTGAGGCTGAACTTTAAGGTCAGATGGTAGACAAAATAGGGATGTCGATTTTGATTGGCCAAGCCAAACATAGAAATGAATTATAGATTAAGGTTTTTCATGGAGTTGCTGTTTGGACATCAGGCCAACTACATGTGTTAGATTGTATTTGTACAAACCCCCTCCCTCATAGAGGGTGTAGTTACCCCCACTTAAGATGTACCCATTGATGTGGTTAAGTTAAAAGTTCTTTGTTGATACTTTTCGTCTCTGATCCCAAAGAACATTCGTGAGACTGACCAAGAGAAGGAGAGGATTGAACTAAAAGCAACTAGTGATCACTGGCCAGACAAGATGAGACCAACCAAAAACACCTCCCCGCCCCTAATGAAGAGTATGCAACAAGTGCATTTTAATACATAATAATAAAAATGTTATTCATTTACTGTCTGAGACCAACAAGGATTTTTTGGATTGAAACCATGAACTATACGTGCATGTCAGCTTGTCACCATGTTTAATTCAAAAGTGCCATGCTTGTCTTCCAAACAAGGGAAGTAACTCTATAGTATTTTGAGTTATCATCCTTTATAGGGGAAAGAAATTAGCTTCCCCCAACAGTTTTGAAGACGTTAAAATTAACAAGTCCTTCTTTGCCCCAGGTAACAAAAGACTGTTGGTTGTTTAACATACACACTAAATGCTGCATGATTATAATCATCCAAAATAGAATGCATTGCTCACTAATATTTATCTTACACTAGCAGGAGAGCCCGGCGTTGCCCGGGGATGTAACAGTAAGAGATAGATCAAGTATCGACCATCATAAAGACTGAAAAATAAAATTGACAAAGATTATTGTTTAAGGTTAACGGACACGCATGTCTTAATTAGTTTGGTTTTTTTTTTTTTTTTTTTTTTGTTTTTTTTTTTACGAATTGGTCAAACTCAAACCAAAACATTGTTTTCAATCGTTATGAGTCTACTGATTGAATAGAATTTTATTATAAACAATTGTCTTGTAAATGGAATTTTTAAAGCATTCTGAATGTAAAAATAAAGAAAAAAGTATGCAAGACAATAAGAAACACTATCTGCGAAAAAAAAAGTGAAGTTTTGTTGAAATCAGTTGAAAAATGCAGGAAATCTGATCCCATATATAAATGAACACACACACAAACAACCTGGGTTTTATAATAAGTATAACTCGATATGAATTGTCCCCCTTTCATTCTCGTGATTAATCGTGTTTTCAAATTGATTTCGTGCAAAAACAATTGTTTTTTCAATTTTGGGCACTGTCAGAACAACCGCAAGGTAATTTTACGTAGTTCTGTGAAGTTTTGTTGAAATCGGTTGAAAAATGTAGGAAATCCGATCCAATATATAAACGTACAGACACACACACACACACATAACTTGGGTTTTATAATAAGTATGATTATATGCATTTCAGCTGAATAGGTGAATGCAACTATAAACATGTGCATAGGCAGGAATCAATCTTTTCTTTCCTCCAGTTAATGGTTAACTCATTAATGTTATTAGTATAATTTATCAACCTGCCATAGTTTACCAGCTATTTGGTGTTAGGAAGAATGTGTTTTAGCCTTCCAGTAGTATACCGAGTACTAATAGTAGCATTAGTGTAGCCATTGATACACTGACACTGAATGTGAATATAGAAAGACAAGATACACGTCCTTAAGAAGCAAAACATTTAATAAGGCAAGCAACTTACATACACATTTTTTTTTTCTTAAGCATTTCACCCCAAGCAAGGCGGGAAGCCACTAGAACGCAAGGGGTTACAGAAAATTTAGAGCAAGATCAGATAGGAGTGATAGAAGAAAGGATGAGGGTAGTAGATAGATCAAGGCAACTGGAGATGTCGATTGACATTACACTTGAATAGCTGGAGATTATAGCTCACAGGGAAACAGGAATAGGAAAGGGAGTTCCACAGACGAGAGGTGCGAGACATGAAGCTATTGGAGTAGAAGAGACGGCTACATTTAGGAGTTTCGACAGTGAAGGGGTGAGAGCGATCCCAAAACAAATGATTCTTCATACTGTCCAAGGGACGAGAATGTTTACAGAATGAGAACAAAGAAATAACATACCAGCTTTATGGTCTTTGACCATCCATAGCTAAGTGAATAGAAATTACTTTTTTTTTTTTTCTCCCCGTTAGGCTGTGTACATATTACACATGCATGGATGCTCTGGTGGTCAGGAAGGTAAAGACGGTCCTCAAAAAACTGAAACAAAAAAGAAAAGGGATAGAGGAGGGCCGAACTCCCATGAGCTCCACCCAAAGGAAAACAACTGTGGTCTCTCTACAATGTCAGACTGTGCCATTTTTAGAATAGTGGGCATTAGTGGGTTATAGGTAGATCTATCATTAATAGTGAATTCTTTTTATAAAACTATAATACCAGGTGTTTTTAAGAAATCTGTAATTAATACTAGATTTTTTTAGAGACCTATAATTAATCCTGTAGTTTACAGTGTGAATTAATGGATTAAATATCAGAAGACTGGAAATCTCTTGGTAAGCATAGTTTTGTTGAGTCCTACTTTTCTATTGGGAATCTACTGGTTCAAGAAGTAGGATGAGGGTTTGGTTTGCTTTGCCAAGATGTTTAATCCTGAAATCTGATAGTGATAAACACTTGATAGGTACATATAGGTCTAGTTTGCATGAGAGTAAAAGATAGAAAAAAGTACATATAAGTCCAGTTTGCACAAGAGTTAAGAAAAAGGTACATATTGGTTTGGATTGCACAAGAGTTAAAAAAAAAAAAAAGGTACACCTAGGTTCAGTTTACTCAAGAGTAAAAACAAATAGAAAAACGGTACACATAGTTCCAGTTTGTATGAGAGTAAAAAAAAAAAAAAAGGTACATTTCAGCCTGGTTTATACAAGTCAAAAAAGGTACATTTCAGTCTGGTTTATACAAGTCAAAAAAGGTACATCAAGGTCCAGTTTACACAAGGGTAAGAAAAAAGGCATACAGATAACTCCAATTAGTACAAGGGGTGGGGGAAGAAAAAATATATACATAAGCCCAGTTTGCATGAGAGTCAAGAAAGATACGCATAGGTCCTGTTTGCAAAAAAGAAAAAAAAGAGGTACACATAGATTCAGTAAAGAACTGTCTTTTTTAAATGAGCTACCCTACTACATGGGGAATGCAGATTTTATATCCCTTACTCAAACTAACAAAGAAATATGTAGGAAGGGGACTATGGACCTATAGACTTACTATGCTCTTTGAACTTCCTATGTGAGCGCTTTGTACTCACCATGAAAATTAATTGCTGGGATATAAAGTTGTTTATAGTTGCTATTATAGTGGTTGGCCACTTGTATCAAAGGATGCCCATCTACTGGAATGGCTAGCTAATCCGCATTGCAGACACCTGCTCAGGTACATTTGTGTTTGTTCAACACCCACAGAGCCCACCTGTGGTTTGTACTGCAACTATGCTGAACAGATCTTAGTTACAATTTCTGGGAGTGTGTGTTTTTGTCTAGTGTGATCAACAGTCTCAAATCCTTGGTAACAATGACTTTGTGCTAGCAAAACCACTGATGGCTCCCCAAGGGTTTTGCCTACCCAATTTTACTCACAAGACTTACTATTTACTACTAGATTGGCAGCTAGGCCTCATCAATTTACAGTTGAAATGGCTAGGTGTAACTATAAGTTCGATGCTAACAGGTTCTTCTCTCACACTTATCATATGTGGAACTCTCTCCTGGCTTCTTGTTTCCCAGTCAACTTTGATCTTCAAAAATTTAAATGCAATGCCAATTGTTACCTACTGTCTTAATTCTTGTTCTTTTATTGTTCTCTCTCCTTAATAAAGTTTTCTTTTTCTCATTCAGTAACCTTTTGCATCTAGTGGCTTTATTGCCTTTTTTGAAGTGAAATTAATAGAAAGTTATCTGCTAGAAATTAAGAGTATATAATTTCAATATTGTTTAATTTCAGAAAAGCCACCAGATATTCAACAGAACGGTGAGACATTTGTTGCATATACACCTCCTGTTGCTCAGGTAGCCAGAACTGGTAAGTGATGGTATATATTAATATTATGTGTGTAGTGTTCTGTTGGTTTTATTTTTTTTCCATGAGACAATTTATTTTTGAAAATATATAAGGTAACATAGAAGTTAACACTGAGAGGCCACAGGTTGTTTCATGCTAGATGCAATCATTAGGCCTGATGATTGTGTCTAGCATAAACAGCCTGTTGCATCTAAGTGTTGACTACTATGTTCACTTTTATATTTACACACACTCTATCTCTGATATTGAGCACTTTATCCCATAAATATAGCACACCTTAAGACTATATTTCTATATATATATATATATATATAAAAGTGAACATAGAAGTCAACACTTAGGCGACAGTCTGTTTCATGCTATATGCAATCGTCCAGGCCTGACTGTTGCATATAACATGTTGACTTCTATGTTCACTTTTTATTTTACACACGCTCTATCTCTGATATTGAGCACTTTATTCCATAAATATAGCACACCTTAAGACTATATATATATATATATATATATATATATATAATTTTGGACAAGTCAAATGAAACATTTTTTATCTACAAATCTATGTTAAAGAAGTTTATAACTAAGGCCATAAAAGAGTAAATATTTTCTCAATTTAAACAAAGCCTGTTATTTTAATTTTGTCATTTAATAACTAAAACACTATAACCACCAAAGTTTCTGTGGTTACTAATGGGACCTTAAAGAAAAGTTACAGCATAATAATTTTTAGTCATTTTTGTTATGTATTAAAATTTACATTGATTTGATTATTATGTATTTATTTACATTGATTTGGATTTATTTATTTTATTTTACATTTAAATACTTATTTAAATCTCTATTTAAATATTCATTTGAATATCTATTTAAATATTGTATATTATTATTATTTTTGTTATGAGTAATTTTTAGTAATTTTGTTTTAGCATAGTAATTTCAGAAAATGTTGAAGTTTTTATTTATTCTTGATATTGACTTTTTAATTGGTATCAGTGCTACTCCTGCTTCAATTAATGGAATGTTATGATTTATTTCATTGTGAATGTGTTCATATCTGTTTGCTAAAACATTATACATATATGTGTGTAAAAAAAAAAAAATTAGAGTATATTTGTAAAAGAACTATGATCTTATTCATATATATATGTGTGTGTGTGTAGAAATAATTATACCAGAAAAAAAGTTTGCTATTGTATTTAAAACTTAGGGAAATTTATTGTATTTTCTTGTTGAAATTCAATATTTCCTGAATATAAAACTAAATAAATAACATTTTATTCACCATTGAATAATTAGGATTTCTCCATCACCAGAAGAATAATTTCTATCTTATTAGAAGAGTTCATTATACAGAGATGGGCAAATGTTTATATTCAATACTTTCTGAATATTAAACTAAATAAATACCATTTTATTCCCTATTGAATAATTAGGATTTCTCCATCACCAGAAGAATAATTTCTATCTTATTAGAAGAGTACAGTACATTATATCACTATTTTTTCATGTTTTTAAATTTTTGTCTGTATTTACATTTGATCAATTCTCTAGTCCTATCACCAAAGTTTAATCCAATGCTTAAGTAAATAATTAATTGATTTCATTTGTTCCTCTAAAATGACTATAAAACATGTTGCACAGAATTTTTTCACTTTGTCATTCTGAGAGTCTTGGCAAAGACCATCCTTCTTTGAACTTTGTGGACTGGTGCTGCAGAATCACAAACAAAGAACTTTACCAAATAACAGAAACCCCATCACATTAGGATGACCAACAGCAGCAACAGCTAAAATGAACAGCACACGACTTCAAACAAAAATTAGGAAGGAATTTCCCATCAATACTGGAAAGAGTGATAACAGCTACTGGACTTAAGAAACCTGTTTTCCTGAAAAATTGTTTTAAGAGAAAGATTTTATAAATTTTAACCAAAAGCAGTAGTTTGCTCAGTCAGTGAATGTTGAATGTTTCCTTATAGGGAAACAGCTAATGTTACCATTACCTAACATTGGTCTGATATTATGAAATTTATATCATATTCTCTCATATATACAACAAGCCCAAACACATCCTTGTTGGATGCAAGCATCTTATAGAGATATAACTTAAACATAGATTTTTATATTTGGATATATGCCAGTAAAAAAAAAAAAATGAATGTAATATTATGACACATTGATAGCTATATAATAGTCATGTTACACCAATCAAAAATTTTTTTTAAGTAGATTCTCAAACTTTAATCCGATATCTTTAATCTCTGTTTTGAGTTCTGGCATCCCACAGGCAATTGATAAAGTGCTTGTACTTCGTTTTCAAACAGACAACAAAATATGATGACCTTCATCGTTTGATATTTCTATTCAAATACTGCCTTGTTCTTCCCTTAGATGTGAGAAACTAACTCAGATTTTTTAAACTTCACTCTTCATGAAGAAAGTGGAGCACATATAGAAAGAGGAATTATCTTTGTAAAGTTCTTAAATAAAACTTTGTAATGTTGTGTATGATGGAACCCAGAAGTTGTCGCTGAACCAATCGACATCCCTGCTTATTTTACTGAAAGCATGGCCATTTAATCTGAGTTACAGAAAAAGGGATGTGAGATGTGTTGCTCATTTCAAATGCCTTCGGTGTATCTTTTTAAATTACCTTCCTGCCTTATCTTGGTAAATGAATACAGCATCGAAGAAATTTTTTTTTAAATGCATGGGAAGTGTGTGTGTGTGTGTGTGTATCATTAAACCATTAGCTTAATTAAAAATTTCTGAGCCAATTTTTTTCATGCAGTTGACTTGTAAAAAATTTTTATTTCTTATATTTAAAAGTTTTATTACTTTGCCTTCCTCTCTATCCCTTGCTAAAAAAAAAAGTGTTTATTATTCATTAATCTATTAGAGTGTATGAAAAGTATTTTTGCTTTCTAATCAACTTTGATTTTTACATTTATGTAAGGCTCTACATGTGGTAACTGAGAACGTTCCTTGCTCTTCTGAATTTTTAACTTTTCATAATTGTTTGGGTTCTTTTCCACTCTTTGGATTAAAGCATCATAATCAACAGCTGATTGTCATTACCTTGTGTACTTTACTTCAAGTGAAAAGACACCACCCCCATAAAGATTAAACCAGTATTGGACAGTCTGGTCAAATAATCTCCCATTTTCTTCCTCTTCCCAAATTCTGTAAATAACTTCAGTGGCTTACAGACTCATTTAAAAATTATACTTCAAAATTGCCAGGATCTCAATATTTGTCTGTCATTGTAAACCTCTGAAAGAAAAAGTATAAACAAATATTGATATTGTGTGTGTGTGTGTGTGTGTGTGTGTATATATATATATATATATATATATGATGAGCTCTACCATTGTTTTTGACATATTAGAATTCAAAACCATGTTCCACCCTTGATGCTCTATTTGTGTATTTAGTGATTTGCATTGTAATACATAGATGTTCAATGCATGACCACTCAAATGTTGTAATGACTTTTATGTGCACACTCCTTTATTTCGGTTCTGCTTAACCTTTATCACTTTGTAGGTGACTATTTTTGCCAAGCAAAATATTAGTCCTGCCAATACAAGTTGAATTTGAATTTCTTGGTTGTGTAGTCATAACCTTCTATGGCAACACCTAAAACAATCTTGACTGAAATTGAGAGCCAGGCTACTGCAATTTCAAATATATAGAACTAATATATAAAACAGTATATTTTGAAGGAATTCCATATACAGTAAAAGGAGGAAGTAATATTTATAAATGATGCAAAGTGCTAAATGTTAACTCTATCTTTGTACCTCAACAATGGTTTTCCCACTTTTCTGAGAACTTACATGCATTTGGCTGTACATGAAGATTTTTGGTGTCCTTTCATCACGCATATAAAGTTTGAACTGCTACTCAAGCTTCATGTTACCATGATCACCTGGTTGCCTGACAATCATGCTAGCATGAAACTTGAGTAGCCTTCTGTACATTCACAGTTGTGATACTGGGAAGCATAGTTGCTCTGTCTGGGTAATATAGAGTTCATCTGAACAATTACCATGAAAATATTTATTACAGCAGTGGGGAAAGTGACTGAAGCTGAGATGCCAGATCATGACCAAGAATATTGCTGATTCTTCTTTGGATTTTATCAAGAATCTCTAAATATACAGCAGGAGCACCAGACTGTATGTGGCAGCAATATTCAAAGCATGAATGGATAGTAGACCTATAAAAATGTAAGATAGATTCTGGAAAGAAAAACTGTCTAGCACAACACAGCTGAATTTCTTAGCAGTAGACCTAGCAATGGATTTGATATATTCTTTCCACTTTGTGTCAACTGAGAATGTTAGTCTGAGAAGGTGCAACGAATCACTCTCCTGGAGGTCAGCATCAGCCATGCTGATAGAAGGCAAGAAGGGGTCTTTTGGTAGCCAGGCTGTTAATTTACCATTTCTGAAACTTTTTGACTGTTGTATTTGTACTGTATAAAGAGGCATAATCTTGCATGAAGTTTTGTTCATAAACCAAGGTTAAAATTTGTCCTTCAAAAATTCACTATCAACCTGGGAAGTCATATTTTAGTTTATCTGGTAAATACCAACATCTAAGTAACTCATCTACAAATCCAGTGTATAAATAACTCCTCCGCTATCTTACTGATACTTGAGTCATAGAGGATGCTGCTTTTCCTTTAGAACACACTCCAGATGGTCCATCAAAGGTAGATTGGAGGTCGTCGGTAAAAAGAACAGCATTGAAATTAGGATTCAAATAATTTCTAGCCTATTCAAGACTGTCTTTTTCAGTTTCAGAAATGGTTGAATATAAGGCATTATATATTTTCCAAAATGGCAGAGAATTTGGTATCGAGATGAATATAACACATTACCTTGATAAGCTTCCTTGGATTTAGTTTTGCTGCTCAGAGCTAGATTTATTTATTATTTTTTTTATGCAGGGGAGGAGTTGACAGTCTACTTAATTTGAGACCATTTTCTCTGT